ATCTCTACCAATCTCTACCAATCTCTACCAATCTCTACCAATCTCTACCAATCTCTACCAATCTCTACCAATCTCTACCAATCTCTACCAATCTCAGCATATCGCATCCAATATGTTCGCGGCTCAGCTCTCAGTGGCGTCTTCGGTATTTCGATTAGCAAAGGTTACCCAAATCAATCACCTGGCCTGACCCAAGCTTCCTTGGTTTTGTAATCAACCTTTGGGCCCAGCGTCACGTTAGCAGCGTGGGTGAGATGCACAGTCTACATACTTGACGCCGACACCGTGTCCTGTGCGCTCTCCAATTCTTCTCTGATTGACTTTCCGCCACCCTTATTTAAACACCCGAGGACCCCGTCAGCACGTCGTCTTCTCGCTCACCTTCTTCGACACGCTAGACGTAAAGGATCATCAACAAATGAGATAGTTTTTGAAACGCGGATCCGACTGTTAGTCTCGATTCAGCCACGAGTGAGGACCTTTCTCTACCATGAAGCTTATCTCTGGCATACTGGCGGCTGCCGCGGTATGTGTGATTACTATATCTGCCAAATGTGTTCATGGTGCTTCTACCATGTAATTACATCTCTTCCGACAGCTTTAACACCAAGTGCACATAGCTAACGCTTATTCTACGCAATCCAGCTGTGAGGGCAGCGACGGGTGCCCAGAGAGTTACAAGCCTTCTGCGTGGGTTGTGCGTGGCATGGCGGTACGGTCTGGCAATCCGATCAACAACAATCAGGATGGAATCCGCAACTCCGAACAGGCAGAAATTCAGTGCATCGCAGACCTGATGATGTGGCGCCAGTGTCTCATACGCTTGGGGGGTGAGGCATGCCTCAAAAGCGCGTGCGCCCGTGCAACTCAGTTTTCGACCAACGGCAACAATTGTAATCAGCTACGCTCAGTATGTGGACTGGAGACACGTCGCATTGGTGAGGAACCTGTCGACCCTGCCATCACTGAAGACCACAAGCATCTGGAGGCCCACAACTCTGGCCCTTCTCACCTCGGATAGATCTGCACAATGGAAGATTCTGGCGGTACATGCTTGTGGACCAACCAACATGACATGTTCGCTAGCCGCTCTATCAAGGCCTCTTAGCAACCAGTCGAATGGACCTCATTAAAGTTAAAACCTCCCATCAACTATCACTGCACGTTTTTCGCTCTACCGGACTGTAAAGATGAGGCTAAATCAGTCAGGTGGCATTGAATCTTCCAATCTCCGACTGTTCTCCGAAGCACGTTATTGGTACCATAACATTCGCTCTTTCACGTGCGAGTACGGTTATTCGTACCCCGTCTACGATTCTCGATCTGAAGATCTCACAGAGCCTCATAACGCAAAGAAACACCGAACCGGTAAGACTCTTGATCTCTTCAAGATTCTCCTGGGTAATATACTCTCAGATGGAAAACAGTGAGAGCGTCAACCTCGACGGCTCTGGATGGGCATCACTACAACTGCACTCAATCGACATGGTTTAACACTGCGCATTATACAAATCGCCAATGTGCACAAATCCCAACAAAGCAGTGACGCTTGACCAAGGGGGAAAAGGATTCGAAGTTGCTCATTTTGGATTCTTACTCGCCAGCAATTATTGATACAATGTCCGGTCGATACAATGCCGTCCATGTCCCGGGCTTCCCAATGTTGGTTACGGCGTGAGCGATGGAGGTGTGGATGACTGGAGCGCAGACGTGGCGTTGGGCATGATTTTGAGCGGAGTGCAATCAATGGTTGTTGGCTAGGGTCCTCTAGTCCCAGGTCGTTTGTTATGCAAGAGCCATAGACGAGGCAGCCTGTATTAGTACAGATATCTTGTCATACATTCCCTGTCATGTATTCTTGCTAGTGATGGTGCAATGAGCCATCGCTTCGAAATACTTTCAGCTCGCTATATGCAGGTTTGAATCGTCGCTCACATCCAACAACGACCAATGCTGTCTTAACAGACGCGAGGCCTGTTTTCACCTTGGCACTTGTAGTCAGGACTGGTTCGACAGGCAGAGACGCAACAGGAACTAGTGTTACACTAATTTAAACATGTTCTAACGACATAAAGATCGATGACTGGCACGATTTCTGTGGCATGTCGTATGTCCGTAATAACCTCCGTGGACCTTACTCAGAAACACAAGGCATTGGCGTGTGCCGTGTGCTGCGAGATTAATGATACTCCGCCAGAATTCATGAGGCGTATACTTAGCAACAACACTTTGCTGAAATCTGCCTTCAGCCATTATGCTACGCCATCAATCCGTTCAGGACCTTTCCACGTAGCTTCCAAGGTTATTCTTCTAGCATCTCGAGGGATAAAACATCCGTCACGTGGTTCGGCAATTACGTAACGAAAGCTTTTGTAGATGACGTCTTGCAGCGGCACCCAAATTCGAAAACGTCCGCGTTGGAAACGGGCCGTGCATTAGGCGACGGCACGCCCTGGGGTATCACCGATACCTCGGGTTTTACCTTTCCCCTTGGACGACGGTTGCCCGATTGAGTTAGCCCCGACCTGCCGACTTTTCCCCGATCTTTCTCCCAATAAGTTTTCTTCCTCGCCTCCTATATATAGACACGCTCTCCTCTTCCTTCTGTCTTCCTCGAGATCAAAGCGTGTTTCTGCGCGCAATAATAGCCATGGCACCCCCGGAAGACATCTTTGTGCGAGCCGAACGCGGCATCCAAGGGGCACTTTCACACCTACCGATGTGGATGAGTCGCTTCCTAGGATATCGCGGCAAGCCCGCTGCTCCCTCCCCAAATATGATAGTATGCATATACGGTTTCATCGGAGCTTTTGGTGGCCTTGGTATCATCCTCGCCATATTCACCGAGTCGCACTATTTTACAAGCCGCCACGTGCCAGCTATAGTCGCCTCTTACGTAAGTGCGCTGTCGCCATCTCAACGACAACTCTGACAAGAATATAGGGAGCATCTGCTATTCTTTGCTATGGTGCAATCGATGCGCCGCTCGCACAACCTCGTTCTCTGATCTTCGGTCACTTCTTCAGCGGCCTTGTTGGGGTCATCATCAAGGTCATCTTCAATTACAACTTCCCAGAGGATGGCGAGGGGTTTCCGCGTCTCATGTGGCTCGCAGCATGTCTAGCGACATCTATCGCTCTTGTCGTTATGCATTTGACCAAGACGACTCATCCGCCTGCTGGAGCTACTGCGCTTCTCCCGTGTGTCGACAGGAACATTCATGCTCTGGGCTGGTACTTTCTACCGGTGTTGTTACTATCTTCGTTCTTGATTCTCGTGAGCGCTCTGCTTGTCAACAACATTCAGCGACAGTATCCCAAATTTTGGATTGCCCCCATTCCTCCTTCGCCACCCGCTCAACCCAAGTACCAACAAAGCAGCCCCCCAGATCCTGAAAAGGCCGAGTTCAGCGAGACACCTAGATCGCCTACGCTTCCAGTAAGCGAGTCCCACGAATCAAAGGATACGCAATGATTGCAACTTGATGCTGTAGTCTGTTAGAAGCGAGAATACGAAGTGAGGATTGTGAGGTTTCACTTCCTGTTACCAGGGCTTCGTAGGGCCGAACCTTTCAAGGGAAGATCCACAGATTGCTATGATCCATGACGAGACTAAGGGGTCTGGCATGGCAAATGCGGCGAAGCTCTAATAGGTTCATAAGAAGGCATGTCCCAGTTAGAGTCTGGAGACAGTCTGGAGACAGTCTCCTGAACGCCCTATCTGCCATACTTAATCTGAACAATTTCTTCGATCACACTCTCAGAGAAACGTTTTCACAGATCCCGTTGTATTTCAGCTCTGAGGCCAGCACTTGAGACGGATAGAGTTCTCTGGCGGTGTACCGTTGGATTTCCCTTGCTAGATCGACTGCATGCTCTCCCCCATGAGGCAGGTACCTACGAGTGATCCATGCTGTTAACAAACGTGTGTGGGCGACTAATTGCACCTGCGGTGTGTATTGAAATAGCCGCGCAGAGCAGCCCTCGTTTGTCAGCTGGATTGATGGTCGTGCCGGATATCGAACATGTTCCTTTCACCTCCCGCGTTCGCAGCCGTGGTCTGAGGATTTCAACTGTACCATCTGTGAAGCGTGACTCGAGGGCATTTCAAATGCCATTCCAAGCTGCAAATTAAACGTGTTCTCGGGCCGTCGGAGATGACTCACCAATCTCTCAAGTCTTCGGGATCTAGATAGTATACAGCCGAACCGCAACTTCACCGACGCCACCCTATCTTCCACCTCTGCGAACCCCGCCGAACTCTATGAGCGTGACCCCTGGATGTTCGGTGCGGTCAGGCGCATCTGCCCCGGCACGGCCATCGTCGAGCACGAGATCTGGCTGGCGATCCGCCGCATGTCGTGGGCGTTCGATACAGTTCACACACCTGGGGAGCCGATCGGTCTCAAGGAGTACGATGAGATGAGCGAGCAGAATACCGTATCCTACGAGATCGTACTGAAACCGAGCTTGAGAGGGTTGGGAAGTGTCGAAGCGGAAGATGCAGGGGATGAAGGCAAGGGAATGATCTAGGCGATAAGAGTTGAGAAAACGACACCTATGGAGTATGAGTCTGGTGAGGTTAGCTTGGTACATTTTGTCAAAGAAAGCTCTCAGTAGAATTGTGGTGTTGACGAGGTCCACGAAAAACACCCCAAATGCCAAAAGCATAAGCTGACGCCCTCGCAATTTCATTTTTGCTGCGAAATATTTTATTACTATCTTACCGCTACGTTGCGAAGACGTCTGTTCTCAGGTGGAGACCGGGTGCTGCGGACTAACGCTGCTGTTTGCTCCGTGGGTACCCCTTCCGTTTCAACGGCTTTGACTTCTCTGACATCTCACCTCGAGCGCGACCTCTAAGCCTCGCGAGGTCTGCCATACGGGGATTCTTCGGATGTTACTGTGGCCGAATCTTGCCGAATCTACAAGGACGTGGAGGCCATAAGTAATGTTATACGACACTTCAATCTTCACAATGATCTGGGAATCAAGAAGTACGGTCACTTCCAGCGGATCCTTAATCCCTCCGCATTAATCATAATGCCACCGCGGGAACCGTGGTCTATGGTCCTACTCAGTAGCCGACCCGTTGACGTGATCGTGGGACATCGACGAACCAAACCGCATTGTGAGCACCAACTCAGGACCAAAATTCCAATGGCGAAGATGGATAACCGATCACACTTTTGCGGGACTGCCAAAGTTCGCTTGAATCCAGGTCCAGAATTATATAATGGCTGCCGCAGATCCCGTTACAATCGACTTGGACAGACCCCGAGTTAAGGGGATCAATTTCAATTCTTTTCGCCTTAACCGGGCCTCCGCAATCTTTTCTTGAGAACATTCGCCTTGCTGATCAGTGTCACCCTGCAGCTCTCTTCCAACGAAGACGGAAAGCCCAACGAGAACTAGCTTTTAAACTACATATCGAGCCACCTTGCGCCTCTCATTCGTGAGGTCGAATATGCCGAAATGGGGGAGGATATAGCGATACCACTCAACTAACCAACTCTGGAGCTCCGACATCTCAAGGCAGAAGCCTATATTATCGCGCCAACTGCGTGTCAACATCCTGAGTGTCATCCTGCTGACGGTCCACTTCCCTCCGCAGATGAAGATACGCTTCCAACTCCGGCGTCGCTATCTCCAGTCTGCACCACCCATAACACGAAATGTCTTGAGCCTCCAAGACTTCCGCCGCAACTGCTTCCCTCTCCTCGTTTCCTACACGCTACGGCACCGAGAGCAGCGAGCCTGACGTTTGGCCGACATAATTGTCGATGGTGAGGGAACTTGCCTGCGCGTCGTCACGCACACTCGGCGTACTAAGAAGGATTTGTTTGCTGATCCGGATAAGAATCGCCGAGCGTTTCCACGCGTGAATACACCTGCGAGCCACATACTGGATATGGAGACGGTAGAGAAGGTATTCGGGCCCGAGGAAGATTTCGACGGCCATCCAGAGGCGGAGCTTCTGGGCCTGCTTGGGGACGATGTGTACTAATATCGAAGAGCGGATTAGCCGCCGAATGGACAATCGTTGAAGGCTATGTGCTTCTGCCCGGGCATACGGGATTGAAATAGTGGGTTTGATGAGTAGGGAACTCTGCTGCTGGAGTGATGAGATTTATTGGGAGGGGAGCTTAGCGTCGAACGGCTGGAATATGTGGATTTCAGGCCGATGTTACAGCTTCTTGCTGAGTGGACCGGAAAAATAGAAGTGGTGCATTGGTGAGATACTTTGGCCTCGTAAGGGGCTATTACGGCTGGTATTTGCAGGCTATGAATAGTAGCATTGAGCTTCGCCAGTGGCATATGGGGATGTGCCCGAATTATGAATGAATATGTTACAGCTGTGGCACTACATGCCCAACTCCGTCCTAGCATTAGAAATGACATTCCCATGTGAACTACCTAATGGCGAGCTGGACTCTGTGATGCGTGGGAACATAAGACCTAGTTGTTGGTGGGAGCGGCAGTCAAGGAGGAGGAAAGCTTACGTAGAAGGTCGTAGTTTCGATCGCGACCAGGAGTTCACGTGACATCCACCCGACCAGAAAGCTTGAGTTAGCTTTCACCTGGCTATCTCATTGGCGGGTGGTTTGTCCCAGTCTCATGTGACAAGTACCTTTTATGTCGTAAGACCCGACACAATGCCCCTTCGTTTCCCTCTAATATGGGCCACGTGGTTATTTCACAGACAAGGCGCAATAGCAAACGCACACCAATGTTTTGGATGATTACCTTTGTGCAATCCATTTGATATTACTTGAACCAAAATTTCTTATCCCTTGTGTATATGTGGTATCGTTTGTCCTTCTATATGCATTGGAACTAAAACTTCGTGGTTCCGTTCATGGCAATGCTGAATCCTCTCGCAACCTTTCACGCTCAATATAGTCGCATACATGTTCACTGCACGACCAGAGCTGCAACATGTTGACCTCATACAGACTGGCGGTTAAGCGGCACGTCGTCTGCAGGGTACTACAGTCCCTGAAGTGGATGCTCGCGCAGACTTACCCGGTCGAAAGAACGATTCTTCAGCAAGGGAATGTGTCAAACGACTGGCTTCTGGCCCGGTCAACTGCTATTTGTGCTCGAGTGCATGGGTAGGGCTGGCGTGTGAGATGACTGGCCGTTGCCGGACTGGCTTTGCCTCTTCTTTTCCTTCTTAGCCCAACGCACTATCCACATTAGTAAATGTATTATGACGTGCGCGACGAAGAACTCACATCCGCAGGCATTGCACAGCGTCTTTGGTCCGTTGGGACCCTTCCTCCATTCTGGCGAGTCTAGGGTGCCGCAGTCGGTGCACACATACTCGTCCGCGATCTTCAGCTTCTTCTTCTTGTCCGACGATGCCCTGCCGTCGCGGTCCAGCGAAATTTGGATGCCGGCGTCGCCTCTAATGAGCATCGGGCTGTGCTCGCCGGTACTGATGCCCTGTGATCGTTCCCCGTCCCGGTAGCGCAGACCAGTCAGCATCTCGATTGTCTCCAGATGGGTGGCACCCTCATAGCGAGCCATCTTGTCGTTGATGCTATCGGGCTTGCTTGCGGCCAAGGCCTCGTCCAAATTCTGGCGCGTGAGGGCCGTGTTCGAGACGCCCGGCTTCGCGGGCGGAGGCATGGCCTGGTATGCTGCGATTGCGCTCGCGCTCACGCTTTCGGTTTGGCCCACTGTCTCGGAGGGTGTTACAGATGAAACGCCATCGGCCTTTTTCTGCCAGTGCTGCTCCTGCGCGTCCGTCTCCTCCTGCTCCTCGCGCTTGAGCTCGGCGATGCGCTTCATGAGACGCTCGTTCTCGATCTTGTGCTCGAGGAACGAGTCGAGCAGCGCAGCGTTCTTGGTCGGGTAGGGACGGGCCATCATGAAGAAGCCGCGGCAGTTCATCGTGTTGGGCGGCGCAAAGGTGCTCGGGTCGTTGCTTAGGTGGGGGTGGCCGTGGGCCTCGAAGATGGCCCATGTCTCGTCCGTCTTGCGGAAGCGGTAGAAGAAGCGCAGCGGGTTGCCCGAGGCGATGGACTCGTTGAACTCTTTGACGAAGATGCCGCTGTCGTCGGGGTGGATAAACTCGCCGACGAAGCGGCCGACGAGCTGCTGCGGCTCCCAGCCCGTCAGCGCCTTGGAGGACGGCGACGCATACAGGATGCGGCCGTCGGGGGTCAGGATGTGCAGCAGGTCACGCAGCTCCTCGAGCACGCGCTGCGACCAGTTGCGCCGCTTGGTGAACTCGGTCAGCGTGCTGCCCGACGGGTTCAGGCTGGGGGCGCCAAAGCCCGTGGGTAGCGGGCCGGCACCCGCGCCCGTCATGCTGCTGTCCTGGTTGAGCGCCTGCTGCAGCTGCTGGCCGCCAAAGGGCGAGTAGTTGGCCTGCGGGGTCGAGCTGGACCCGTCGTCGAACTGCGACAGGTCCATCTCCATGGGCATCATGTCCTCGACCGACATGCTGTTGAGGTCGGCCGTGTCGGGGGGGAGGTGCAGCGGCGCGATGCCTGCCATCTGCTATTCTTCAGTCAGCCTTCAGCGTCCGATGATATTCGCCACGGCTCGCCCTGCCGTGGACCGGACTGCACGGGGACCCTGCCGTGGCGGGGCACACAAGCATACTTCAGTGGAGAGCGAGCCGCCACTCTGGTACATGGCGGGCGGGTCTCGCAGCAACCATGGGCTGCGCGACGACGAGATACTGGGAGTAGATGCGCATTCACCTTCACTGGATGCGAAAGAATGCCGTGTGGAGTGCCGCCTGACAATGACGGAAACCAACCCGCAGACCCCGGCGAACGCGACCCAATTTGCCCGAGCGTTGCGTCACGTGACTCCGTGTCGCCTCTGCCTGCTCCAGACGCGCGCGGAGCCCTCACCACGCGTCATCTCACCCAACCTCACGCTCAACTGCAGCAGCCCGACTGCAGCACAACCGCACACACAGAGAGGGTCCACGTGCGGCGGCACGAACAGCAGCCATCATGTCGCGAATCGAGCGCATGCAGATCCAAGGGTGAGCCGCGTTGACATCCGACATACGTCGGGCCGCATTGACAGGCGTAGCATCCGCTCTTTCGGACCGCAGACGGGCGAGACCATCGTCTTCAACACACCACTTACTCTCATTGTTGGCTGGAACGGCTCCGGCAAGACTGTACGTTGACCCATCCCGTCTCCACCAGCCTCGCACGTGACAGCTGACCACCATCCCAGACCATCATCGAATGTCTCAAATATGCCACCACAGGCGAGCTGCCGCCGAACAGCAAGACTGGAGGAGCCTTCATTCACGATCCAAAGCTAACATCCTATGATGAGGTTATGGCCCAGGTCAAGCTCTCCTTCCGGTCCTCGTCGGATATCCCCATGGTCGTCAGTCGCAAGATGCAGCTCAACGTCCGGAAGAATGCCCGATCACAGAAGACGCTAGAGGGCTCCTTGCTGATGCGCCGCAACGGCGTCAAAGAGTCCATTTCTTCCCGCGTAGCTGAGCTGGACCAGATTGTGCCACAGTATCTCGGCGTCTCTAAGTCTATCCTGGAGAACGTCATCTTCTGTCACCAGGAAGACAGTCTGTGGCCAATGAGTGAGCCCGCCGTTCTCAAAAAGAAGTTTGACTCCATCTTCGAGGCAGATAAATACACAAAGGCGATCGAAAACATTAAGGTCATTCGCAAAGTCCATATGAGTAACCTTGCTGTCGCTAAGGTCCAAGAGGAAAACGCCAAGGAGAACCAAACCCGTGCAACCAAGGCTGAGGCAGACATGGTTAAACTCTCGGACAAGATCGAAGCCTACCGCACCGAACATGAAACGGCTGAGGCTGCAGCCAAAGAAGCACTCAAAAAGAACAGGGAGGCATACGCGCACGCCGCAAAATATGAGCAGGTTGTTGCTCAACTCCAAGGCAAACGCGTCACCTACCAAGCAAATGAAGAAAACATCATGTCTTTGGAAGACAACCTGAAGATGATGGAGGAGACCGACCAGGAGCTGCAGGTCATGATGGAACAGTATGGCGAGCGTGTACAAACGTACCAAGATCAACAAGAAGATTTGAAGACGCAGTACCGTAGCTATCAAACATCTCTGCAACAGAATCGCACATCTTTGGGTACCAAACAGAGCGAAGTCGGCAAGCACCAAGCAGAAAAGGACCAACACGCTCGCAACATCCAGAAGCGTGCAAATCTCATCAAAGAAACGGCCCGGCGACATGGCATCCGAGGCTTCGATCTTGACGTGGACGAGACGCAGGTGGTCGAGTTCCAGCAGATATTGCGAAAGCTATCGCGTGATCAAAACAAAGCCCTCGAACGTGCCCGAACTGATGCTCAGGACGAGCTTGGCCATGCACAAGATGCCGTTAACCGTCTCAGCGAAGAGAAGGCAGGTCTAAACCAGCGTAAGGACCTGTCCAAGTCACAAATTACTGCCAACGACAAGCGGATCACGGAGTTGCAGAAGATCATGAGTAACATTCGAGTCGACGAAGGAGCTGAAGCAGTTATCTTGAACAAGAAGCAGGCGACCGAAAAAGACCTTGACAAGGCGAGCGCAGATGCCGATAATGCCGACTACGATACCCGGATTCAAAACATCGAGAACACCGTTCATAGACTTGAGAATCAGAAGGAGCGTTTGGACACAGAGCTGGTCGAGGCCACACAAGTTGCCAGCGAATCCGCGGAAATCGACTACACCCAGAACAAACTCAAGGAGACAAAACAGAGCCTTTCGACGATGAAGTCAGTGCATTCAGCGCGTATCTCAAAGCTCATTGACCCCGACTGGGATATTGCGACTCTCGGCAGCGCATTCCGAGATGTCCTTGCTCAGAAGAACAACGATGTGAAAGATGCGGAAGAGAAGCGTGAAATTTCACAGAATAAACTAAACCAAATCAACTTCAGGCTCTCTTCAATAGATTCTGAGCAGAAGAATAAGCGCGCAGAGTATACTAAGTACAAGAACGTGGTCCTTGACGCTATTCGAAAGGAAGATATCACAGATTTCGACGACACTTTGTCAGAACTCGAGTCGGAGTTTGCCACACTGTCAGATGACAATGCTAGCTTCGGGGCTCAATTAAAGTACTTTGAAGCTTGCCTTGACACCGCAGAAACACACAATCAATGTCGACTGTGCATGCGAACGTTGAAGGACGACAAGGCCGAAGGGTTTACCAAGGCAGCATTTCTGATCAGGGTCAAGAACATGGTCGCAAAGGCTACTCAGAATCTTGACGCAAATATCGACGACGTACAGGCCGAATTGGAGAAAGTACGAAATGCGAAGCCTAGCTACGAATTGGCAAAACGCGCCGAGGAAGTTGAACTCCCTGCACTCAAGGCGGAGCATGAGAAGCTCGTGTCAGAACGCAATGCAATCAATAAGGAGCTAGAATATCAGGACAGCACAATCAATGAATTGAAGGAGTCCAAAAGGGAGATCGACTCGTTATCTGCAGATATCCAATCGATAATTAGCTCTTACGACGAAGCCCGCGAGCTGGAAGATCGTGTCGTCGCTTTAAAGAAAAAGCAGAAAACGAGTGGGCTTTCTCGTGGTATCAGCGCTGTGCGTGAAGAGCTACAAAAGGTGAACACAGAGAGCCGGACTGCGAAGGCGGAGCTTGCGGCCCTTAGCGGCGAGCGCGAAAAGTTACGAAAGACCGTTAGCACACTTGAGCTGCGCATTCGCGATATCAATGCCGAGCTCAGCGCTGCACAATCGAGCCTCAAAGAGAAGCGCAATCTGGCAGAACGCATCGAGGAATTCAAGAACAGTAATACTGAGCAACGAGAGGTCATTCGAAGTCTCGAAACCGACCTGCTGGCCCTGGACCCCGAGTTGGAGCGAGCTCAAGCAACGTACAAGGACGTGAATCGACGCGGCAACGAACGAGTCAATCGTGTGCAAGAAGAAGCGTCCAAGCTGTCTGACAGTGTTCGCCAGCTTGCTGAAGCAGACCAAGACATATCTGCGTACATTGACAAGGGTGGCCCGCAGCGTCTGACTCGAGCCCAACATGAGATTGAGATTCTTCTTGTCGACATTAAACAGATCGAAGACGACATGTCACGTGTCGCGCGCGATGTCAAGAAGATAGAAGAAGCTCTGAGTAGTGTCGAGCACACAAAGCAATCGATTTTCGACAATCTTCGATACCGAAAGGCCAAGCGAACTTTAGAAACCCTCGCAAAGGAAATTGAAGCTTTGGAAAAACAAAATGCCGAGGCAGATCAAGCGCATTGGACTGCAGAGGGAGACAAGTGGGATGCTGAGTATCAGCTATTGCATGTACGAGTCATCGAGCTGAGCACCACGATGAAACAGCTCGACATGCAACTCGTTCAAGACACCAAGGAGTACAATAAGTATTACAAGAACGCGGCGAACGACTACCGCAAGGCTCACATCACAGTGGAGACCACGAAGGCGGCCTGTGATGATCTAAGCCGATACGGCAGCGCGCTTGAGCAGGCAATCTTGAAGTTTCACACGATCAAGATGGATGAGATCAACAAGATTATTGACGAGCTCTGGCGCAATGCATACCAAGGAACCGATGTCGACACTGTGCGGATCCGTTCCGACAACGATGGCGGCGCCCGGAACCGCACCACCAACTACCGCGTCGTTATGGTCAAGCGCGACAACGAGATGGATATGCGTGGCCGCTGCAGCGCTGGGCAGAAGGTCCTCGCGTCTATTGTGATTCGCCTCGCTCTCGCCGAATGCTTCGGTACCAATTGTGGGCTCATCGCACTCGATGAGCCAACAACCAATCTCGACCAGCAGAACATTAGAGGGCTCGCCGAGAGCCTTTCCCAAATCATCCAGATCCGCCGCAAGCAGGCCAACTTCCAGCTGTTGGTCATCACGCACGACGAACAGTTCTTGCGCGAGATGAACTGCGCAGACTACACTGATGTCTATTGGCGCGTGGGCCGGGATAAAGAGCAACAGAGCTACATCGAGCGCCAGAATATTGCTGAGGTAACTGCCCTTCTTCCTCTATATATGCTTACGAAAGAGCGCAAATTCCTGCAGAATCGTGCTGCTTGGCCTAACTGTTTACCTTGTTATCATATTCACTTACAAAATCAATAGGTCGCCTGATCCTGGGACCTGGACGATCCCAACGACGACAAATGCGTAACGACCGAGCGACCGAGTGACCGAGCGACCGAGCGCCGGCAATTGGGTGGGCATGACGGGTATGCTTCTTTGGGGACTGGTTTGCGTCTAGCGCGGTGGCATGCATTTCAAGGCGCTGGGATCCGGCAACTGCATAGTGAGGTGTATGTACGTGTTTAGTATGTATTTACTGTGAGCGATAATGACTACGACCTTATCCGCTTGGCCGGGATATTGATCCTTGACACGTCACAAGACGACGGTCACTACGAATCAGCATGGCCAAGTGTTGGTCACTGGTATAACCATGTCCGCGGGAAGGGCATGATCAAGCGCGAGGCGTATTCCTCCATAGTTGAATACTTCAAGACCATCAAGGAAGAGATCTCCAGGGAAGAATTCGCGCTCCCTGTCTTTCTACGCGAGGACTGGCAGCCTGATTACGACGTAGAGACTACCGGGCACTGGCCCTGGAAGCTAAAAAGGTATTGCCAAGACTACCAACGCTATTTGCAAGAGACAATGAGTCCAGATCACCCTCCCGACGAAGAGGACAATGATGCTAGGTTCATCGCCGTCTCGGATGCCACCTGGGATGCTCTGGAGATGCTTGAGTACAAGACATGGCGTGTCTCATTTGTTGATAATCTTCTCAAGCAGATTCGCCGCTACGTATGGTCCATCATCGACAGTTCTTGCTGTCGCTTGGGCGCGGGGAGCGGTGGGAGGAGGGTGAAAGGATCTTGCGGATTCACCTACCAGATCTGTTTATGTAGATAATTACTAATTGGGTACTTCCATTGTATTGTGGGGATTCCGTTTCCTAGAACGGCAAGCGTATCATAACAATCATAAGTAACGTGTTTTACAAGCGAGCGGCGCGTACAAGCGAGCGGCGCACCCCACCAACTTTACGCACCTATCTCATCTTAACCTACAATGGCTCCACACAACAATGCTCAATTACCTTCAAATGAAGCAGATATTCAGCTTGCTATCTTATCTATCAATACAAAACAGATTCAAGGCAATCGACCTGCTGCTGCAGTCTACAATGTACCCGAAACAACGCTCCGCCGCCGACGCGCTGGGAAGCCTGCCCGACGCGATTGCCAGCCCAACTCAAAGAAGCTCACTGAGCTAGAAGAGGAGGTGATTGTTAGATATATACTTGACCTGGATCAACGTGGATTTGCGCCTACGTACGCGGCTGTACGCGATATGGCTGATAAACTGCTGGCTGCGCGCGGCGCTGGTCAGGTCGGCGTCCACTGGCCGCGCAACTTTGTCAAGCGCACGGATAGTCTCACAACGCGTTTCAATCGAGCCTATGATAGGCAGAGAGCCCTGTGTGAGGATCCGATATTAATCAGAAGCTGGTTTGAGCTCGTAGAGCAGACAAAGACCAAGTACGGCATCTGCGATGACGATGTCTATAACTTCGACGAGGCTGGCTTTATGATGGGCAAGATTATGACTCAACTCGTTGTAACAGGATCAGAGCGGAGAGGCAGGCCAAAGGCTATCCAGCCTGGCGACCGTGGATGGGTCACAGTGATCGCTGCAATCAACGCTGCTGGCTGGTCAGTCCCACCGTTCCTTATTTTCGCTGGCCAGTATCATCTATCTGCCTGGTACGAGGAAGCAGAGATCCCACGCGACTGGGCGATTGCAGTCAGCGACAACGGCTGGACGAACAATGAGCTAGGAGTAGAGTGGCTAAAACACTTTAACGCTTATACGAAGACTCGTGTCGTTGGTGCGCGTCGCCTGCTCATCCTTGATGGCCATAAGAGCCACCACTCTCTTGAGTTTCAAGAGCTCTGCAAGGAGAATAATATCTATACTCTTTGTATGCCACCTCACTCATCTCACCTGCTACAGCCGCTTGACGTTGGCTGCTTCTCGCCGCTGAAGCGCGCGTACAGCCGTGAGATTGAGAGTCTAATCCGCCACCACATCAACCACATCACGAAGCTCGAGTTTCTGCCAGCCTTTAAGGCAGCCTTCACGCGATCATTTACGGCAGCTAATATCTGCTCAGCCTTTCGAGGCGCAGGCCTTGTTCCTCACCAGCCAGACGTTGTTCTATTAAAGCTAGATGTGCAGCTCCGTACGCCTACACCAGCTGCTCTACCAGAGGCTCTCTGGGAAGCCAAAACGCCGAGCAACGTACGTGAGCTTGAGGCTCAATCAACATTAATACGTAATCGTGTGCGGCGACATAAGAGCTCATCACTAGCCTCAATTATCCAGGCAATTGACCAGCTTAAGAAGGGAGCTGAAGTGATGATGCTCTCAGCTGAGCTGATGCGCGATCGGATCACCAGCCTTGAGAGGGCTAATGAGGCAGCAACAAAGCGTAGGCAGCGTAAAAAGAGGCGGATACAGAAGCGCGGGACCTTAACAAAAGGAGAGGGAGAGGATATACTGGCTCAAAAGGAGGCTGACCAGCAGATAGAGCGTGAACAGCGTCAAGGTGGAGAGCGATCAGGCCTCAGCCGCCAGGCTCTTGCGCGCTGCAAGAAGTGTAGAGAGACTGGGCATAACTCCCGTACGTGCAAAATAGATAGTTTAGATACTATTTAATCTACTATATTAATATCTATACATTGTTCTACACGGTTGTTAAGATATACATCTGCAGAGGTGCGCAAAGTTGGTGGGGTGCGCCGCTCGCTTGTACGCGCCGCTCGCTTGTAAAACACGTTAGTGTCTTTCATTCTTTATCTCCCAGAACTTCTCCTTGACATCCGTCCGTCATTACATGACATGCACTCAAACGACTGGGGTATGTCCCACTTTTGCTTCACCGAATCTATCTCACTTATTTCCTGAAATGTGCTTCCATACCCGCACATGATAATGTGAATTCAGCAAGGAACTCTGTGATTCGCAATACGATCATATGCGTTTGAGTTGCACTATGCGTTCGAATAGAAATTTAACGTTTTGAGAATGGTTTTGGAACAAATAAAATTCCTGATGCCCAACTGTGAATGATCAGAATCGCATATTCATGGTGGTTCTGTACGAGCAGATATAATCAATGCCATTTGTGAGGCGCTATATGCAAAGTAGATGGAAACTAATCAAAGAAGAAGCAAAAAGAACGAAAACTCAACATCGACATGTAACCAAGACACTCACGGAAACGATATCCAGTTTGGGGCGAAGAGGTGAAGACTTCCAGCACGTTTTCCCCACGACGCTCTGCTGGCGGGATATGTCAAAATTGTAACCCATTGGCAGTCAATAAGATGATGGCTTCAATTCCAATAATGATCAGCTACATCACGGCCTCTGCGATTGTTCTTACTCTTACTAATCCCGCACGCTAGCACCCTTTGCCTCCTTCGTGGCTTTTGCTGCCATCTTCGCGAACTTAGTCCCGTACTTCTGGTTCATCTTAGTGCCAGCCTTAGTGTTGGATTTCGTATTGAACTCTGCCCTAGCCTTGGTCATGGCTTCATGCCTATCGCGCTTGGCAGCCATTTCCTTCTCCTTGTTCCGCTGGTTGTATTGTTCATAGTCAATGTCCGGTTTACACTCAGGCTCCTTTGATTCCAGTGCCAGCTGCTGAGCTTTCTTGGCGAGTGCCAACTCCTCCAAGGCTTCAGAAATGGATTTAATGTTCTTCCAATGGTCCTTAATAATCTCATTGAAGCCGTTCTTGTAATGATGAATCCCGCAGCCGTCCGGGCTCTTCGGGCAAAAACGCTCACCACAGATGTCTGGCTTACCTTCCAACTCTATTTTAGCAATGCAGAAGGCTAAATGTAGTTCCCTGTAGCACTGGGGCTTGGGCTTAGTACTACATACGGAACAATGGTGAGTCTGACCCACGTTCTTCGTTCGGATGTTGCGGGTGTTGAGATTCAAGCTAGAGTCCCAATGGCCCCAGTAAAGCAACTGCAATAAGTGAGTTCCCAGTTTTACCATGTTTGCTTATAGATCGGGTTTTCGGCTGTGAAAGAGAGGATTTGGTAGTTTAGTCGGAAGTGTTTGGGGTAGACTATGTTAGGATGTTGTTTTCGTGATTGTTGTAGCTCATTTAAGTGGTTTCGGGTAGGGTTATACTTGATCATAACGAGTGAACATAGTGATGGATCTTACATAGTGAGCTCACAATATACACGGACAAAGTGGCCAGCGACGTGAATAACTCATGCCAGCATTGCGTTATGTAGAGCTCCGATTCCCTACATTGTTCAAGCTTCACGAACGAGACCGTTCTATCTTGACAAAGAATGCACAACTCGATACAAAGCTTTTCTTTCATGGTCTTCCAAACTATTGTTAACACATGAAAGCAAGCGAGGTCCATAAAACGAGGAGGGGCCTTGTCACTTTCCATTGCAGTCAATCTCCCGGTGGAGAAACCATACCAACATTAACAACCTTCTCGCAGCCAGTGACACCTTTCTCAACCTCGAATTGATTGCTTAGAAGCAATCATAGCCTCATTACGGGTTGATTCCAGCCTTGAGCAGACCATCACGGACCTCTCAGCCCGAACTATACCAAAGCATGTCCATTCTTTGCAACATGCCGAAATTACCTTCCATTGACCAAGCGTTCACATGGTTCATGAAGTCTACCTTGAACATTGAAGACCTACCGGTACCCAAGGAACTATTCCCGAAAGAGCAAGAGCAAGAGCAAGAGGCTTCGACCTCCAACACCTCCAACACCTCCAACACCTCCAACACCTCCAACACCTCCAACACCTCCGACACCTCCGACACCTCCAACACCCAAACGAAAACCTCGAACTACAAGGACCACGTTCGCTCCATTGATGATAGCTTGTTCATTAAACTGATTCTGAGCATATGGGACCCCGAGGGACGTAACGGAATCGTTGTCAAGGTGGTTGCTCACGATGAAGGGACTTACAATTATTGTGTAACATTGACCTTGGACGACGACGACGACGACGACGACGACGACCAGATGGTTGTGCGGGTCCCTTTTAATGGCACGCCTGAGATCTGGACGGATGACCATGCGTTCGAATTTCACACCGAAGTCATGAACCAGCAATACCTTTGCAACAAGACCAAGATCCCAGTGCCGACTGTGTATGAATGGAATGACGGCTTCGACAATGTCCTTGGTGCGCCATTCATCATCATGTCAAGAGTCAATGGTTGTTCAGCTTATGAAAACCTCTGGTTCGACATGGACATGTGGAACTGGACGGAGGACGGCAAGTTAATCATTCGGGGTGCCGGCAACCCTTCACCTGAATTGGAGGGTAAACGTCTGAAATTCCTCAAGGACCTCGCAAAGCTCATGGCGGATCTTCAGAACCACGAGTTTGACAAGATCGGAGCTTTACACATTGAAGATCGTTGGGATGCACCGCCCCCCACAATTGGCCATTACTTCCAGCACTCCCTAGACGGGAGGTTGGTCAAGACTGGTCCATTCTCTTCTACAGCTGAATACCTCGAGCACAAGAAGCAAGAGATTTATGAGCGGGATATCAGCTATGCTGAGGAAGAAGAGGAGCTTTGGGAGGCGAAGGGGTTGCAGAAGATCGGCGCAATCATGTGTGATGCCTTGCCCCGCTCTGTGAATAAGCCTGTGACCGACGCCGCGTATGAGACCAGCCCAGAGACGTTTGTGCTTGCACACCCTGATCTCGACCTGCAAAACATCTTTGTCGACGAGAACGGTAAGATCACGGCCATCCTCGACTGGAGTGGGCTCCGCACTGTACCACGCTGGGCCGGCTTTGCGAGCCTTCCTCTTTTCCTCCGCAAGGACTTTGACGAAGCCTACGAATGTCGTCTCGAATGCTCTGCCAAGTACCCACTCATGCCCTGGCAGCTTGAGCCATATAAAAAGGCATATCACAGCTATCTTAAAGAGGCGCTCGATCCTATGCGCATCGGCAGCTACAACGATGCTGCATGGACGCTCGAGTCGGGTGCAATCGGTGCCGCGGTCGAAGCTTTAGAGAGTGTATGGTATCGTAATGCGAACATTCAACGTCTCCTAAAGGAACTGCCTCAGGTGAGGGGCATCGATCTCCCGGGCCTCCGGGTACGTTTCGGGCTTCCAGGTGGCTGGCCAGAGGCCGAAGTTATGCTGAAGGGGGCATTTAAGTCTTTGTTTGCGCATACGTAAGTTCTGATGCTATCCAGGGAGATTCTTTGTTTTCATTTTTTTTTATCGCGCTGCATTGTCTCGCTAGTAATCTGCAATCACATAACTTACATAACGTCCCTCACTGCGAAGCGAGACACACTGTGTGGCAAGACAAACGAGGGGTACTTTAACTTTCAGCAACCAGAAAGCTCATGCGCACAACGATTGTTGCCATAATCCTATTAAAATAATCTGTTGTAGCTAATTCTGAATCTCTTATAATCTCTCCTAACGTACGTCCATCTCTCACGAAACACCCATTGTGCCGAAACAATTCCTCGGTACGCCGACTTTAGGGCCTAATAAAGCCTACTATCTTGATTGCCTAAGGGCGAGACTCTATAACAATGGATTTCAATATCTTCTCTATTGATATGATATAATCTGTCACAAAATTATAATTGTTAAGGTACCTTCCGCCCTTCGCGAAAAAGGTATACCTTCTTAGGCGAGATCAATCACAATAAGCTATGGGGCCAACATTATGTTACTGTGAATTCTTCAATAGCTAGACCCTCTCTCCACTGTCCCAAGAACCTGGTTTCTGCATACGAGGTCGATCCCAGTAATGAGGCTGCAGCTGGTGCACAATTTATACGGATCGCCACCCCTGGTCAGTACTTCGGAGAATGTTCAACCAATCAAAATATTTGACGATTATGCTTACATCTCGTAATTTATATTACCTAAGCACTTGGCAAGAGGCTTATAGCATGTGGCTGCTAGGCTTTGCCACCGGTCAGCCCTGCGTGCTGGAACAAAGACCACGTGCCCGTGCGAAGAATATTTATAGCGGCAAATTTCATACATGCCACTACTTGGCGTAATTATTTCCCATCTACCACTGTTTCGAATACACTACCACACACGTGACGTCAGCTTGTAACATTTCCCAAATAACGTTACCACTGTTTCTATCCCACATGCCACTGTTTCTATCCCAAATGCCACTATTCTATTCGTAGGCTTTGCGCCTCCCCTAGACGCTTTCGGACAGCAGACAAAGGCAGCAGTAGTTTTATATAAAGGGAAAGGTCAAAGATTGTATTATGATAGATCTCAATCTCTATCCATAGTCTTACAATTGGCCCGTTTGAGCTCTTTTCCTTGATCGCGTTGATAGGGCTGGAGGCTCTTCGCTTTTGATATTACTCTCTTCTTCATCGCCACTTGCCACAGGCCTTTTGTTTCTACCTGTTGGACTTGATGAGACATTAATGGTGATATTTGGAACAGAGCTAGATGCCCCGAATGTAAAGGTATTGTTCGTAACAGTGGAATCAATGTAAATTGACTTGTGAAGTCGTTAGATCTACAAGCCTCTGGGTTACCATGACGTGAAGAACCGACTCTTTTGCTTCGCCGATTGACGCAAATGTCTGTCCGATAAATAGTGTACTAGCCAAATTCTGGGAGGATGCCATTATAGTCATCTGTCGTTGTTTTTCGTGTTGAGCTCGCGTCAGAACGCGTCGACTCTTTAATCGCGTGCGACGCGTGATGAGCCATTCCGGATTTAGCGGGTACGGTAGCTAATTCTAACGCGAATGACAGGAAGCCCTGCCACCCAACACCAAAACAGACGGCATTCTGGTTCAGACACTCTTTCCTATGCAAAACGGATTTGTCTGCTGCCCTAGACGTGTCTGAAGAGGCGCGAAGTCTACTAATAGAACAGTGGCATATGGGACAGAACCGGTGGTATTTGAGATAGAAATAGTGGCATGTGGGATATTTTACGAGCCAGCGTCACGTGTGTGGTAGTGTATTCAATACAGTGGTAGATGAGAAATTATTACGCCAAATAGTGGCATGTATGAAATTTGCCGATATTTATAGTAAAAGTGTGGCGCTATGGACTAAGCTAATAGACGACCTCTGTGCGCCCAACAGCCTCTAAAGTAGATACTATTATCATAGGCTACAATTGTTGCCATAGCTTTGCTTACATGATATATATTCGTAGATACTTACAAGCCCATGTCTTTGAATCTGTTAAATAACTCCATGTCTGCCTGCTCTCCTTCCCATTGCTCCAGGACTAGCAGGGAAGACAAGTAGTGCGGGTGACTAGCTCCTAGCACTTGTTCACGCCGTTGTACACACTGCTGCATCAGATGTATAGCTTCTACAGTCCGGCCGAGTGATTTCCATGTGAAAGCTAGGTTGTTCATGCTGGTCAGCGTGGAAGGATGGTCTGCTCCGAGCTTCGTCTTGCTCGTCTCCATCACCTGCACCTCTAGCTTCTCCGCCTCCTCCCATCGGCCTTGGTTCCAAAATGTCGACGCCAGGTTGGCCATGCTGGTCAGCGTGTCTGGATGCTCTGCTCCGAGCTTCGTCTTGCGAATCTCCATCACCTGCACCTCTAGCTTCTCCGCCTCCTCCCATCGGCCTTGGTTCCTAAATGTCGACGCCAGGTTGGCCATGCTAGTTAGCGTGTCTGGATGGTCTGCTCCGAGCTTCGTCTTGCGAGTCTCCATCACCTGCACTTCTAACTTTTCTGCAGCGTTCCACTTCCCCCCGATTTTGTGGGCGCTAGCCACCATCGCTAGACCCCATATCGTGTCTTCATGATCTCGCCCTAAGACCTTCTTTCGTGCCTTTAATGACTACGTTGCTAACACCTCTGCTTCACCTACGCTTCCTTTGCGCTCCGCATACCATGCTGCGCGATACAACAATGTAGCCCACTGCACCAGGGAAGATGCCCCTTCTAGCCTATAAACAGTCGCCGCCTTAGCGTGCGCGAATAGCGCCTAACACGCTGTCCAATTCTCATACTCTCCCATAGGGAACGCCTCACAAAGGTTATTAATAAACTGGTCTTTGTAGCGTCCCAATCTTCCGTTCGCCGCAAGCCACGTACACATTAATAGCTGCACCAGCGCGTGCATCTCAAAGGTTATGCCGTTAGTGCTAATAGAGATGAAGCAGAAGTTGCGCAGAGCTATAACGTCTTTAAAAAATGCATCGTCTTCGGAGAAGTTGTCCTCAAAATCGGTGTCATCAACGTCATCATCACCAAAGTCCTCGTCCTCAAAGTCATCTATAGAGTCGTTCCAGGATTAATTTTCTACGTCACTATTAGTGCACTCAAACTGCGCCCTATTATCATTCTCGCTGCGATCTGCCTTGGCTATATCAATTTTATGATTGTATTTGTCCTCTTTATACTTGGCTCGCGCCTGCAGCACATTTTTGGGAATCCCCTGGCGGTCGAAGAAGCTCATCAACGCTAGTAGGTCTACTGCCGAGGGCCGTGTCTGCTGTATGTACTCGAACGAGATCTGCCACGTCGTGATGATCGAGTTCTTCGCCTCCCGATCGCGTCGCAGATGGTCTTTGTCGTAGCTGAGAAGGCTCGTCCGCTTGCGCTCGCTCTTCCTAAATTGATTAAGGTACTACGCTACGGAGCACAGTAGCGCTCTCTACAAGATATATGCAGCAGCTTGAACTAAGGCAAGCGGCATGTGTTCAAGTATTATAGCGAGCGCGGTGAGCTCAGCGGCGTTACTACTAGCCGCTTACACCCCAAGCTTCTTTGCGAGTAGAGACTGCGCCTACAGTGCATCTATCAGATCGAGCGCGATGATATCACGCTATTCTACTAGCTATAGAGCGGCTTCTTTATTCCACGTTGTGACAATAACACATCCATGTGCGCAGTAGGGAAGGTATTCGTGCAACAGCTTAGCTATCATCTTCGAAGTAGTAGCTTGGGCGTCAAACAGAAAACCGGCATCATCAACATTATCTAACACAAGCAGCCACCGCTCATCGGTATCGCACATCCAGTCATGCACCAGCTTGAAAATGTTGACCTGTGGATCTCGTCGCCCTTCGATCTTGACACGGTCGGCGATGTCGTGGAAGCTCTGCTCGAGCCGGGCGGTGCTGCTAGCATGCGCCCATAGTACCCACATCCCTAGTGATGTCTCATGCGTGCGGTAGCAGTGCTCTATGGCAAGCTGTGACTTACTATTCCCTTGTTAGACGAGGTGCGATTGCCGACACAAGGAACTACCCGAAAACCTACCCCACACCTCCTATACCAACCAACGCCACCCGGGACGCTGGCGCAGAGCATTTTTCTTTCAGCTCATCAAGCAGCGTACCACGATCAACAAAGTCGGGGTCGCGGCGGAAAGGGATCGTATAGGAGGTGCGAGTTGTTTAGAGTCGTTCTACGAATAAGTCATCAGCTATCTATAGCCACACATAGCTATTAGTGCCCACTTACGCGTGCTGTGACTGCCGCTACTTATCTACTCAGTCATCAATTCTTGTTACTGTTCCCAAATCTCCTTTCTAAGCCACCTCATTGCATGCTCTTCTCCTTCTCCACGAATCACTGGCAGGAACACCCCAAAAATGCCGAGCAAACAGTACGCTCAATCTTCCTTCACAGTTGTCACGCGTGAGGCCACCCAGCTCATACGCTCCTCAACGCTGAACTCGGCGAGGTTCTGCCCTCTCAAAGCGTCAATAGGTATCCTAGTAATATCATGTATTCGTTATTCTAGGGTTATCTTGCTGCCTAGACGCTTACCCTCCCTAGAAAAGAATTCAACACTAGCTGGTGCCATAAGCTCTTGTAACGTCCATCCACATGTGAACCATCAGCTGCGGCGAAAGGTGTCTGCCCATATTATTAAAAAGGCCGCAGGGTCGTTATCGCCCACGGACACATCTAAAAGGTATACATAACATTTAGATGAGCGCTGGTACTATCTAAACATATAGTTAATCGCCGTATCTAACTCATCGATGTTTATTTTGTCGATGTAGCAGGTATCAACCCAGAAATACTACAGCCCATCTACCTCGGCTCGTTCACCACAGAAACAGATCTTCTCAAACCCCTTCTTGTCCCTGCCTACACCAGCAATGAGCTCCTGATATAAGACTTCTTAACCTTTCCTCCAGGTATGCGAAAGAATGGCGTACGGGGGCGGATCGTCATGGTCGAAGTAGGTCAGCTCGTAGGTGCCGCTTAACAGGCGCTGGAGCAGACGCATCACGGCAGAAGCATACTCTATAGACGTGAGGGCCGTTGGTAAACGCTAGCTACGGTGTAGGAGACAGATGCAGGTGCATAGCTACTTTCAAATAATTAGGCTAAGCGCTTAGGGCTGTAAGCCAGCTCCGCATAACTGCAGCCTCACGCTTCAATCCCCGCTTCGGCTATATGATCACGTGGTACAACAAGGAGCAGGGGCCAGATCGTCTTAGCAGAGAGGTCAAATTATTCGCGTTAATTCATAGAGCTCATATCAATACATACGTGCCACTAGGGCTCTATAAGGAACCTCCGCAGTCCTCTCTACTAAAGTCCGTCAACCAATCGCCTATACTTCTACAGCTCTCGCAGCCTATTTTGTAGCAATCTCACTAGTTTTACTACCTTTCGCCACCCTCACTATCACTTCCTCTAGCTCGTGCCTCACTCTCTTATGCTTTCTTTAACCATCAGCACTATCCATAGTATCTTAAGCTATCACTACGCGTGAGGCTTCTACTGACTCCACTATTATCCCCAAAGACTTCTCTATTATTGTCGCAGAGCGCTTTGGCTTACGGCCGCGTTTTTACTTACCTTTAGCTTCTATAGCAGCCTCCTACTCAGCTCGCTTCGCTCATGCGATTTCGATATCCTCCCATTTTATGACCCTGCTTCTGCCAACTATATTTGACTTCTCTTTTCGTCGAGTCTTGGCTTCGTTGTTCATACTCGATAGAAACTTAATCTGGTCCTAGTCGAGGGCCTACCAGGCCAGCGATGTCTTAGCGGCGTTCGCGAGCTTCTATACGAGCCTCTAATGGCGCCGTCTACTTAGCTCATTAGAAGGATTCTGTCTGATTAGTGTAAGCAAAGATGAGAGAGCTTCTAACGTGATGGGAGTTATTGGAGTTTAAAGTATTTTATACGACGCGGACGCTTCGGTTACTTCATTAAAGATAGATAGGGGAGCCAACGGTTTTGCTAGAGTCCTCAAAACTCTATCTGGGTTGAAAGGGAACAGTCCAGCCTTGGCCCACCCTACAAGAATGTTCTTCTTGCTTATGGCCGTCTCTCTGGCAGGACTATACAAAGAGGTAAAGTGCTCCTTAAGGACTATAGTCACTCCACTCCAGTACAGTTGTTCTACTTGGTCACGGTAGGCAGTCTTTAGGGGCCCAAACACTATAACGTCACATGGTTGAGTCTTATGTGAGGTGTAAGAGGGTAACCGGCATAGAAGAATGTTATTCTCTAGGTAAAACTCCAGGACTTCAAGGGTTTCGTGCGTGCCGAACCCATCGCAGATTAGTACACGTGGCTTACCATTAGCTCGGGCTTTTGTCTGGGGCTCAAATACTCGTTTCATCCACTCTAGGGTCAGATAGGAGTCGTTATAGCCAGTCTCGGAGAAGGCGTAGACCCACCCAGGCGTAGGGTAGGTCGTCCAATTACTCTAGTGGGTAGAGGCTGGCCAGATAATCATAGGGCTTAGGGCCTCACCGCTTGCTGATATGCATTCAATGGCAGTCACCATAGTTCGCTTCACGCTAGCGCCTCTATAGTCTCGCCGATCATCCTTACCTACGAGCACTTTGATAGCGCCAAGCATAGAGAGCATGACGCCTGTCTCGTCCATGTTATACCAGTTCTCGGGCTTTATATCTGGCTTATCGAGTTCGTCCTTGATTACCTCAAACCATTCAGTAACCTTATCGTATATATTCTTGTCATGGCGGTTCCAATCCATCGGTCTATTACTCCTGTGTTTGAGTTCTGGATGACGCTTAGTAAATGCCTGAGGCCAGTTCTTGCACGGCGGTTTCGTCGCGGGCGTCGACGCATTCGTTGTAGGCCGCCAGCGGGCGATGCTGAAGGCCAGCGAGGGTAGGTACTTAACCCGGACGGGGGTTCCGAGAGCAGCCATTCGTAGGAGGTACTGTACGAGAGCTTTCTCTTCGGGCGGGGTAAGGTATTGTTGGCTTTGGCTTTTAGCCTTTCGTGAGGGCCGTCCATGGTCTCGATGCCACAGCGTGGAGCGAGGGGTCTTTTCGCGCTGTGCTCGAGTAGCATAGGATTCACGTACGTTTGATGATAGGCTTTGTGCCTGCGCAGGGCTAGCGGGCATGTTAGTGATGCTCTTAGAAGGACCGAGACCCTGCGCGCAACCACTGCTGTCCTCCTGGATGGAACCAAACAGAAGTGGACTAAAAATAGAAAAGTATGACATTGATTGCTTACGTCCTGGTCTGCCGAGACGCTAGTAAGTTAGATCGGGCATAGCGTCGTATTAAAATACATGACATCATATATGCTCTGCCGCCGATCCCTTGCGCTTGAAACTACTCCTCCCCTTCAGAGCTTTCGGACTTTGTGATCTTGCGCGTTAAACTTTGCAAACTTCGTAAGGATAGACTTCTCAAGTTCCTAGTCCTTGCTATGCCTCCGAACTCGAAGATATCTTTGACATATTACCTAGACGGGCCTTCGAACTTGAGACGCGAAAAGTCGCCATGAATGTGGCGATCGACAGCACGCTCACAACGTGGTCTCTCCCTAGAACAAGTGGTGTAGAGTAGAAAGTGCGGGCTATTTAATGTATAGACAGGCTTTATAGCTCCAGGAATACACGAACAGATCTATAAATTGCCTTAGTAGAGGGTTTTGTTTCGGCACAATGGGTGTTTCGTGAGAGATGGACGTACGTTACCTCATCACATGCCTTAATGCTTACGTTTCCATGTTATGGTAAGTATCGTCGCCATAAGTAATATTAACTAGGTCGGAACCCTAGTCGTCCTCATTACTGTAGCGGTAGCAGGAAGCTATGAAGGACTGTATTGATCTATGAAAGTTGATACTTAAGACTGCTTTTATACTTGCTCATAGGTGCCCTAGAGACCCGGATGCCTCGGAGGCTTACGTACGTCAGCTTGCGTATTCCCTATCAGCCTCAAACAACCTCAGTACTGTTACACACCCCCTCACCTCGCAGTGAGTAGCGGAGAGGGGATACTGGAGAGCTATTTTCTTTCTATCCGATCAAGACGAGCTGATATATCCACAAGGTGTAGCTGCCTTAGAAACTCAGCGTGCTTCCGTCGCCCTAGGATCTTGGTCAGGCCGTTAGCCGGCATCGTACTGGTATCCACCCACTTGATATTCAGACGACCTGCCTGAACCTCCTAGCATACCCATAACTGGTGGATATCAACCTACTTGAGCTTGGTGATCAGCTTATCGTCCTGTTAGGTAACGTCCACCCCTGTATCACGAGCCACCCTATGACGCGAGCCGCATCTCCAATCGCACCCCCTTAAAAGCCTCTCCTACATATTTATCTGGGTGCAGCCTCTACACAGTGTTCTTAACGCCTTTCTATACTAGGGTTCCAAGGAACTATAGCAAACTCACAGGGTTTGGTTATTAAAAATATATTTTTATTCGCGACGTTAGTGCCTACTTTGCTTATGCACCCCTACTAGATCATGATAGCATATGTGCCGTAGACCATTGGAATACTAGGAAGACAGAGCTATCGTAGAAGGGCATGAGATTTAACCTAGAGGGCCATTTTGCTCTAGGGATACCTTTGCTAAGAGTTTCTCTAGTGTAGATTAGAATGGTTCTAAAACCCTATTGTTATGGGCTAGATGCTCGAGGAGCCAAGATAGCTAGAATGAATATTTATGAATTCACGAAGAGTCGAAGTCAAGCTTCTGCTACCGAAGTTATATATCTGCCCCCCGAAGCTAACATCGGGTCCGAGGTCCCAGCCGGTCCTGGGCCGAGACAAGACCTCCAGGGCGTAGCCCATCACATACCCCCCTACTCCGCCCTCCCGGGGGTTGTTGTACGGGGGGCGCAAGATCCGTCGTGTCGCGGACTTACGCAGGCTTGTCCATTCGGGCCTCCAGGTTCGCTCTCTTACCCTGGGGTTGTGGCTTATCGCGGGGAGAGAGACCTGCTCCCAAATATTGAGCGTGGGAAGTAGTCTTCTCAAGGTTACAGGGTCTAATTCTCCCCGGGACATCTCGCAAAAGTGTAGATCTGCAGGGGTAGGGAGTAGGGAGTTCCTAACTAAGGCCTAGTGTCTTCGTCAGACGCGCTCTAAAGGCTCTAGAAGTACCTCGTTATAGTTCCTAAAGTAAATTTCTATTATTCCCCCACTCTAGTAGTCTGTTAACATAGTGCCTTCCTAGTCTAGTGTCACGGTAACCTTAGAGGCTACCTGACAAGCATGGATATACTGCTGGCAGTAGTATATCGTAGAGATGTCGCGCGCTGGCAGCCAGCCAATAGATTATTAGACGGGTGGCCCGTCTGCTAGCTGATTGGTCAAAGCATGGCGCTAGCCACCCTTGGCGAGGGCGTGCGACGAAGCGAGAAGATAGATCCACGCTGGATAGGGGGGAGAGGACCTTTTCTCCTTATCCAACGTCTTGTACCTACACGTAGATACCGAACGCAGTATATTGATCCAGCCTACCTGGGCCTCAGACATCTTGCTCGTTGCTCTCGTGACATCGTTGCTCTCGTGACAATAAGCTTAAACTAGTTTCTAATTAATATTAGATCCTCGCATAGGGCTCTCTGCCTATAATAGGCTTAATTAAAACGCATTGTGAGACTATCTATACGCTTAACAAAGTTGTGCGGCTAGTGGACGCTGACCTAACTAGCGCCGCGCGCAGCCAGCAGCTTATCAGCCATATCACGTACAGCAGCGTAGGTAGGTGCAAATCCACGTCGATCTAGATCGAGTATATAGCTGACTATCACCTCCTCCTCTCGCTGGGTGAGCTTCCTCGAATTGGGCTGGCAATCGCGTCAGGCAGGCTTGCCGGCACATCAGCAGCGGATCATTCGTTCGGACACGCTGTAGATGATAGCAGCACTACAATTGCTCTATATTTGATGAGAATTGATAGATGAGATAGCAAGCTGAATGTCTACTTTATTTGAAGCTGATAGAGTGGCGCTGCGTTGAGCCATTGTACGTTGAGGTCAAAGAGGTGCGCAAAGTTGGTAGGGCGCGGCGCTCGCTTGTACCGAATAAAGCACGTTACGCAATTAGCAGTCTAAATTTACATAGTGAGCGGACTAGGTTAGGATTCTTCTACGAATGGTGGCAGTCCGCTCGCAGCAGCTTGACTACGGCCTCGTGTCCGCGCCATGCTGCCCACGACAGCGGCGTCCGCCCGTCCTT